CTTTAGATGTTGTTGAGTGTCTTCTGTTTTTTTCTGCCCACCAGGCGATGCGTCTGCAACTACTGACGGCGATAGGGGCACTGGCAGGCACAGCCTGTGCCCTCCTAACTGAAGGAGGGGCAGTGGGAAGTGAAGTTGCGAGTGGAACAGGTTCTGGTTGGGTTCTGCCATTCACTGCAGGTGGCTTTATCTACGTAGCAACGGTGTCTGTGTTGCCTGAGCTGTTGAGGGAGGCATCACCATTGCAGTCACTTCTGGAGGTGCTGGGGCTGCTGGGAGGAGTTGTCATGATGGTGCTGATTGCCCACCTCGAGTGAGAGGTGGGGTAAACCACCCCCACCCCAATCCCAAACCTCTAGCCTCTGTAAGCCCTCCAGGTCAGGGGTCTGTGGAGTTTGGGGGCCCTGGCCAGGGACATCTGCCGAAGGAAGTTGTATCCTAGGGAAGTGTTAACTTTGGCATTTGGGCCATCAAGATTTTGCAGTCTTAAAGGAGCTGCAGAAGTGAGAGTGAAAAGTCAGAGCGACCATAGTGTTAGTAATGTGCTGACCATCTTGGGTTTGAGGCTAATTGGGGCCATGAAGACTGGAAAAGAGAGGGGGTGTTGACAGCCTACTCGGTGTACCCTACGCAACCTGTTTTAGAGGACCAAGCCAACCACACGGGTTTCTCCACGGTCCGCCTCCCCCTCTCACCTGTTGGTGGAAGCTTCAGGGAAGATCAGAGCCCTGGAAAGAGGGAGTAGCAGGAGGAGTCGGGGATATACATCAATTGAACATCAATCGTGTGTCCTGATTTGGGAGTGATTGAGGGAGGAGGTGGGTTGCTAATCTCATGGCCTGATTTTTTTTTTTTTTTTCTATTGATATCACTGTTAGAATCGAGGGGTAGGGGTGGTGACCGGAAATAAAGTCCTCGGATCTTCCGCCCCACATGCGGTCTTTGTCTTTTTTGGGAGAATGGGGGCCCCTCATCTCGCGACTGCCCAGGCCCCCAAGTGGTGGTGTCTGGCCACGCCCCCGCGGTGGGAGGTCGGCCTGCGCTGGTGGCCGCAGATGGCCCCGCGCTGGTCCGGCCTAGATTGGCGCGGCTGCGCCCTGGCCACGCCCCCTGGCTGGGATTGGCCGAGTGCTGGGTGTCCGCCCACCCGCCCGCCTGACATGGCGTCTCAGCTCAGGCTCCGCTCCGCGCTGGCCCTGGTCACAGGTTGAGGGGATGTTACCCCCGGGCGGGTTGGGGTGCCGGAGTGTTGTCGGGGTCATGCCCTCGGCGCCTGCAGCTTCTGTGACCTCTGGCCCCTGGTCCAGATTTTCCTAATTTTGCGCCCTGTTGACCTGTGACCCCTGCCCACTCCTCCCTTTCTCCCCCTCCGCGTGTTGTCTCCCACTTCAGGCGCGGGTAGCGGCATCGGCAGGGCCGTCAGTGTACGCCTGGCCAAAGAGGGGGCCACTGTGGCCGCTTGCGACTTGGACCGGGCGGCGGCTTGCGAGACGGTGTGGCTGCTGGGCGGGCAGGGGAGCGAGAAGGTGGCGCCCGGCGGGGCCCACACCGCTTTCCAGGCTGACGTGTCTGAGGCCGGGGCGGTCAGGCGCCTGCTGGAACAAGTACAGGTGAACGCGACACGACCTCGCTCTCTTTAACGAGCTGGCATGGCCTCCACTGCCCGGGCTTGGGTTTTGGGTTTTGGTGTGTAACCGCCCCCTTCCACAGGCCTGCTTTTCTCGCCCGCCATCTGTCGTCGTCTCCTGTGCAGGCCTCACCAGGGATGAGTTTCTGCTCCGCATGTCTGAGGATGACTGGGACAGAGTCATAGCTGTCAACCTCAAGGTGGCGACCTCTGAATCTGTTACTTCTTGCTCCACCAGCTGGGAGAGGACTGTCACCCCAGCTGATCCCTTCTGTTTTGTTACTCTTTCCTCACCAGGGCATCTTTCTAGTCACTCAGGCTGCAGCCCAAGCCCTGGTGTCCAGTGGTTGCCGTGGGTCCATCATCAACATCAGTAGCATCGTAGGGAAGGTCAGGTTGAGCTGGGATGAGGTCAGTCAGCTAGTTGGGCATAGAGAGAAGAACCCGTCCTTGGGACTCCTGACTCATCCCAAATCTCTGACTTACCTATAGGTAGGGAACGTGGGACAGACAAACTATGCAGCATCCAAGGCTGGAGTGATTGGCCTGACCCAGACTGCAGCTCGGGAGCTTGGACGGTTGGTCAGACACCCCTGGGGGTACAGAGGGATTTGCTGAGGTATGTGGGAGGTCTGGGGGCCAGGTCAGTGCTCAGTCCTTTCCAGAGTCAGCAGCCAATCTCCTTTCCACAGACACGGGATCCGCTGTAACTCTGTCCTCCCAGGGTTCATTACAACACCCATGACACAGAAAGTGCCACAGAAAGTGCTGGACAAGGTAGGAGGCTGTGGGTAGAGGGCAGAGGACAGAATCATTCAGATACTCAGTCTCTCTGGGCTTCAGAGAGAATCTGGGCACAGGGCCAGGCGAATAGTAGATATTCAATAAGTGTACAAGGAATGAAAACAAAAGAAAAAAGAGTCACAAACTTAACCAACAACAACAAAATTCCATAAAAGAAACTTTCAGTCACTTAGGAGTATTTTCTTACAGGTGATTGGAATGATTCCGATGGGACATTTGGGGGATCCTGAGGGTGAGCACTGAACGAGGAGGAGGCCCTAGGGAGGGGCCCCAAATGAAGAAATACCAAAGTTTGTGGTATCTGAGAGGACTTCACTAGGATTGGTGGTTGGGAGCGTGTGTGTTGGTGGGGAGGGGTTCTGGTGGGAGGTGATGACTTTGGATCTATGAGAGTGAGTAGGATTCCACCCCCTCCCCACCACCACCATTCTCATAGATGTCGCAGATGCGGTCACATTCTTGGCGTCTGAAGACAGTGGATACATCACAGGCGCCTCAGTGGAAGTCACTGGTATGAGGCCATCGTGGGGAGGGAGAGGGCAGAGAAGTGGAACCCAGATGATAAGAGAAAGCAGATGAAGGGAGTCTGGAGCCAGAGGGAAGAGCAGAAGTTCCCACAGGCGAGGGACCACAGTGGGTGCCGCCCAGCCCATTTGTCTCCACCTATGCATCTGTCCAAATGTTTCTGCCCCTGCCAGGAGGTCTTTTCATGTAACTGCCTCACGGACCCTGGACTCTGCTCACTCCCCCACCACTCCAACCGGCCTCCTGCTGATGAGGACTCTGAGTTCCCAGGCTACAAAAGGCGCAGCAGTGTATGGCTCTGGAATGCTGAATATGGGAGGCAGGGGTGCTTGTGACCCTAATAAATTCCAAATCCTCTTCCCTGCCACCTCCGGTTCTTCTTGTGTCTAAGCCCTCAGACCCTTTCCCACCTCCCCCTCCTTTGCCTTTCCCAAAGGATTGTTCCCTTTCACTGCCTGGTCTCCCAGGGCAACCCCCGCCGCCGGGTGTGAGAGGAGAGAGTGTGTGTCACTGTGTATGTGTGACATTATGGGGTTTTTTTAGAGGGGGGGTCTCTGCCCCACCCCCTTCCACTGGTCATGCAGCCTCAGTCCCCTCCCCCCAATTCCCTGGGTCCTTATGGTCCCCAAGGGTGGTTTGTTGGTGGCCCCATCGCAGTGTCCAGTATGGCCTTGGGAGGGGGTCTTGGAACAGGTGGCCCTCCCCCACCGGTCTCCCTTCTCTCAGTACCCCCTCCCCTTTCTCTCCACCTTACAATAGCTGCAGCCGGCCTGGGGTCGGGTGGGGGGGATTAGGGGAGGGGGCCAGGATTAGGGGAATGGACCAGCCGAAGAAAGGGGCTGGAGGAGAGCAGAAGGGAGGGGGCTGGGAGGGGGCTGGGAGGAGGAGGAGGAAGGGGAGGGGGTCCGAGCTAATCGACTCTGGAGCCCACATAAGGACTGGCCACGGACTGAAGGAGAGGACAGGGAAGTAGGGGGGAACTGGGGGAGGGGGAGAGGGGACCCACTGCTGCCTTGTCCCAGAAACAGGCTACCCCCTGGCAGCTGCAGCCCAAGTCCGGGAACCCCAGCTTAGGCTAGAGGAGACAGGACGCCCACCGCGGCCTCTTTCCCCTTGGTATCTCATCCCCTGCCCTCAATGGGGATCGCTCTGCCCCTTCCTCTTCTCTCTCCTCCCCGACCCCTTCCTTTACTGCAAAGTCCCGGAGGAGGCCTCTGCCCGCTTCCCACTCCAGACATTCTGCCCCTTGTGCCCCTACCCACCCACACGCGCACACCCCCCCCCCGTAGGGGCCCCATCCTGTGTGTGTCCCCGCTTCCGCGTGGTGTCTCCCTTCCCCCGTTCCTCCCGTGCGCCTCCCTCCCCCGCCCCGGGCCGCGGCTCTTGATTGTCCAAACGCAATTCTCGAGTCTCTGGCTCTGGCCGAGAGTTGAGTCTGGACGTCCCGAGCCGCCGCCCCCAAACCTCGAGGGGAGAGCGGGTCGGAGGGTCCAGGGAGAGCCCAAGCGGAGGGTGGAGCAAGTCCCCAGGGCGGTGAGGGGAATCCCGGGCATTCGCTGGACGGGAGGACTGAAGCGGCAGGGGATCCTCTGCAGCCTCCCCCCCCCCGCTCCCCGGAATGCCGGGCTGCGGTGACGGAGAAGTTGTGGGGAGGAGGACGGCTGCTCCCCAGGGCCGCTAGGGGACGAGGAGTGGGGGATGTGGCCCCTTTTCCAACCCCCTCGGCCCCCTCCCGGGGTCCTAGAGCTCCCAGGCCCCGCCCTCCGGAGCGGAGGCCCCGGGTGGGGACCTCGGGCGGGGAACGGCGGCCAGGGTGGGCAGCGCGACGGTGCGGGCCTGGGGACTGAGACTGCGGTCCCCACGGAGCTCGGGACTCCGGGGGCGCCCGCTCTCTCGCGAAGCAGGCGCGTCCCGAGGGCGGGGTACCCCGGCGCCCACGTCGCGTCCCCCACCCCCACCCCGCCAGCCCCGAGCTGCGGGTGACGTCTCCGCCGGCGGGGTGGGGGGTGTAGCGGAGGGACAGGCGGAAGTGACGTAGGCCCCAGCGCCCGGGCCATGGCGGCGGCGGCGGCGGGAGCTGCTGTCTGAGCAGCGGCTGCGGACCGAGCGGACTGGGGCCGGGAGCCCGGGCCCGGAGAGAGGCGCTGCGGCAGCGGGGCGCGTTCGGCTGGAGCCGGGTGAGGGGCGGCGCGGCGCGGCGCGGGGCGGAGGGGCGGGGGGAGCCCCCGGAGGGGCGGGGTCTGCGCGACGGCGGCCCCCCTAACACCCCTTCCCTCTGCCCCCGCTCCCCAGCCTACCTCTCCTCCTCCTCCCCCGCAGCGGAGCCCCGGTGGGGGTCTGTGCCCGGTCACCATGACGACGCCGGCGAATGCCCAGAATGCCAGCAAAACGTGGGAACTGAGTCTGTACGAGCTCCACCGGACCCCGCAGGTGACAAGGACTCTCCCTCCACAGCTCACTCCCTTTCCCAGACCCTTCCATCCACAGACCCCATCTCACGGCCTCTTTTCCATTTTTTTTGCCCTATTCTGCCGACCCTGCCCGATGTCACAGACTCCCTTGGCCCTACCTTTGAATCATCTTAATCTTTTACGAGCACTTCACATTTATCTCGTTTAATCCTCCCATCAGCTAGTCCCACGGATTTACCGCAAGTATGACTGCCTTCATCTGAAAGGTAGTAAACAAATTACCTTCACTGTTCCTCAGCTCAATGTCACACGTCAGCGCACAGAAGACTCTCCTTCCAATTTTAGTGAAAATAGAGCCTCTAGGCCTTCCCCCACCTCCCAACATTCTGATACTATAGAGATGGGGCCCTGGAATCTGCGTTTTAAACAAGTCCCCTAGGGGATTTTAATATAGGTTGAACCTGGACCATGCTATAAGAAATCCTAATGAAAAAGTCCTCCCCAAACTCCAAGTCTGTGCCACCACCAGCCCCAGACCTCTCACCAAACCTCAGATCCTCCTGTTTCGAAGCTCCTACTTTTAGTTAATGGACACTAATCCTTTCTGTTTTCATTCTCTCCCAAGTCAAAGCTCCTCTCAGAATTACCATCTTCCCCAGTGGGCCAACATGGGGTACTCAGATTCTGCTATTTCACTGTACTTCTCAAAATTCCCATTTCATGGACCATTTTTTCTAAATCCCTTCCCCCCCAACCCACCATCACATTTCCACTCACTGATGCCTCCAGGAAGCCATCATGGATGGCACAGAGATCGCGGTTTCCCCTCGGTCACTGCATTCAGAACTCATGTGCCCCATCTGCCTGGACATGCTGAAGAATACCATGACCACCAAGGAGTGCCTCCATCGATTCTGCTCTGACTGTATTGTCACCGCCCTGCGGAGCGGGTAACAGGAGGGATGTGTTTGAGATGGGGTGAAGGGTACAGACTTGGAACCTCATTGCCCCGGTGACTGACTGTTCAGAGCCTCCTCTCTCCTACCCCAGGAACAAGGAGTGCCCCACCTGCCGCAAGAAGCTGGTATCCAAGCGGTCTCTGCGGCCAGACCCCAACTTTGATGCCCTGATCTCTAAGATCTATCCCAGCCGGGAGGAATACGAGGCCCATCAAGACCGGGTGCTCATCCGCCTCAGTCGCCTGCACAACCAGCAGGCACTGAGCTCCAGCATTGAGGAGGGGCTGCGCATGCAGGCCATGCACAGGTTCGAGCTGGGGGAGAGGCTGTAGCAGGGCTGGTGGGACAGATGTGTGGGTCAAACACCTGGTGCTGTCTCTGCCACCTGCCAGCCTCTAAGCCTTAGCATCCTAATAGCTAGCCACACCCTGATTGTCGAAGCCTGGAAGTCAGGGATGCAAATTGAAGCTTCTTAGCAACCAGCACTACTATTCTTAAGGAGAAATTATCTCACCCTCTAACTTTCTAGAAGTTAGAACAGTGGAGTGACTTTGAGCATAAACTCTGGGAATTAAATGACCTCAGAAGCCAGCATTGTTCAGTCTTTAATGTGAATCCAGATTACCTGAAGGTCTTGTTAAAAATGCAAATTCTAATTCAGTAGGTCTGGAGTTGAGCCTGAAATTCTGCATTTCTACAAATCTATGCTACTTTTTCTGGGAATTCATGAGGAGCGGCAAGGGGCTGTGATCGAACCAAGTTATTTAACCTCTCTAAGCCTCAGTTTCCTCAACCATAAATAGAATAATAATCACCTGCTTCTAGGATTTGTACTATGTGAGGCAATAAGTGCAAAATACTTCGCAGCGTGCTTGGCCTGTAGTTAGTGTTTAATAAACGTTGGGTGTCATCTGTAAGATGTCCCTGATCTCTTGTTCTCTCCTAAGTTTAAACTCCTTATCCTTGGCGCTTTCTAACCTCAACCACTTCTTTCTACAGGGCCCAGCGTGTGAGGCGGCCGATGCCTGGGTCAGATCAGACCACCACGATGAGTGGGGGGGAAGGAGAGCCTGGGGAGGGAGAGGGGGATGGAGAGGATGTGAGCTCAGACTCCGCCCCTGACTCTGCCCCAGGCCCTGCTCCCAAGCGACCCCGTGGCGGGGGCGCGGGCGGGAGCAGTGTAGGGACGGGGGGAGGCGGCGCTGGTGGGGTGGGTGGGGGCGCCGGTTCTGAAGACTCTGGCGACCGAGGAGGGACCTTGGGAGGGGGAACCCTAGGCCCCCCGAGCCCTCCCGGGGCCCCCAGCCCCCCGGAGCCAGGTGGAGAAATTGAGCTCGTGTTCCGGCCCCACCCCCTGCTCGTGGAGAAGGGAGAATACTGCCAGACTAGGTGAGAGCCCTGTCTTCCCGACCTCTGAGAAACCAGACAGCGCCTAGCCTTCCATCGGAAGGGGGCTTCACCCAAATCCAGCAACGACCCCTAGCTCAGAGGCCCTGCTGGAAAGCCCCCTGCTTCCCTTGTCCATTTAAAGACTTCTGTGGCCTAAACCTGCCCTCTTTCCCACTTTAGGTATGTGAAGACAACCGGGAATGCCACAGTGGACCATCTTTCCAAGTACTTGGCCCTGCGTATTGCCCTTGAGCGGAGGCAGCAGCAAGAGGCCGGGGAGCCAGGAGGGCCTGGAGGGGGCGCCTCTGATGCCGGGGGACCTGATGGGGGTGGCGGGGAGGGTGGGGGTACCAGAGGTGGTGACGGCCCTGAGGAGCCTGCCTTGCCCAGTCTGGAAGGTGTCAGTGAAAAGCAGTACACCATCTACATCGCCCCTGGGGGCGGAGCTTTCACGGTGAGAGCCTCTGAGAGCGGTGCTATAAGAGGAGAGAGGCGGGGAGGGTGGCCTGGGGCCACACGGAACCATAGATTCGGACTTCTAACTGGCCCACCCTCCCCTCTCCCTCTGCGTCGCCCATCTCTGTCTTTTCTTCTCCCCCCATCACTCCCTGTGCCCCGGCTTTGCCCCATCTCTTGCTTCTCTTTTTTCTTTCTTCCTCCCTTGATCACTTTCTGCCTTATTCATATCCTTTACCACCTTCTCCAACTTTCTTTTTTCTTACCTTGCCTCTCTCTCCCAACCCCTCTGTAGACACTGAATGGCTCGCTGACCCTGGAACTGGTGAATGAGAAGTTCTGGAAGGTGTCCCGGCCACTGGAGCTCTGCTATGCCCCCACCAAGGATCCAAAGTGACCCCACAAAGGGACAGCCAGAGGATGGGGACCATGGGATGTCCCTTTGTCCTGGCCTACCGCCCCCAGCTTCTTTGTCCCCCAGGGTCCCCCAACCTGGCCAGCCAGCAAGAGGACACAAATGAGGACAAGTGGCTTTTATACAAAGTATCTATATCAGATTCTTCTATATTGTACAGAACGGGGCATGCGCCCCCATCTACTGCCTTTTCTATCGCCCCCCCCCCCAACCTCCCAGCTATCTAAGATGTTGGGGAAGGTGAAGAACCTTCCCCTTCATGCCCTCCTACCAACAACAACAAATTTGCTTCTTTTCCTCTTTGAAACCTGCAGTTCTGTGTCTCTGTTCATCAGGGATGTACTAGAAGGGGAAAAACAAAAACGAAAAAAGGTGGGGGAGACAAGCCTGGAAATCATGTGGAATCAGCCTGGGAAATGGGGAGGAAATGTCAAAGGTTATTCAGGTGTGTAAATCCCAATTTTATGAATCCCAAGTCAGCATATATGTATGAAAATAGTGGGGCACAATCCATGAAGCTGGAAGAGACAGGATGGAGAGCCGAGCGGTGTCTGAAGTCAGATCTCAAACCTGTCCCCTGAAACCTGAATCGCCCTGCCTGAAACCCGGGGTTTCGATATCAAAGGGAAAATAGGAGAGTGGCTCAAGACAGCAAGGCATGCTTGTAGACGCCAACGGGACCTGCAGTTCGGAAGCGTAATTCCTCACGGCTGCGAGAAGCTGGAGAGAGGCGGGGAGGGCCGCCGAACCTCCCTGCTGGGCATCCTGGCCGCCCTTCGAAGGCGGGCAGGGCCGGGGACTACAGCTCCCAGGAGTGCGCGAGAGGGTGCCCGCCGCGCCGCGCCGCGCGGTTCTGCTGCTGTCCCGGCCAGAGCGCCGCGGCCGAGAGCCGAGGGGTGGTGGGGGCCTCCGGGGAGGCCGTCGCCTCGAGGCGCGCGGCGGGGTCCTCCCGGGGGACAGGGGAGCTCGGCTGCACGCGGGCCCCGGGCAGTGCGGGGGTCGGGGAGGCCGATGCTCCCCCACCCCCTTCAGCCTCTCTGCCCATCACTTCCTGTTTCCGTCGCCCTTCGTGCCCCCACCCCGATCCGCCTCAAATTCCTGCGGCTCCTCAGTTCTCTGCCCCGCTGGCAGAGGAGTCAGCCTCGGTGCGACCCACAGACCCGAGGGCGCCCCACCCCACGCTTGGGGTTTCCTGGTTTTCCCCTGATCCCTAGGACCTTCAGAACCGACCGGGCATCTCCCGCCCGCGCAGGTCCCGCAGCCCTGGCGGCCCGGAGCTCACCCCCACGGCCCTCTTGCCCTGCAGACATAGACACACGCTTCACCCTTGCAGGAGCCCCTTCCTATACCCTCGCCCCGAGACCCTTGATCCCGGCTCCCCTCCTGCCCAAGCCCAGCGTTCCCGGGACGGTGGGGCGCGGGAGGGAGGTGGGCGTCGCTCCCGGAGTTTCGGAGAGAAACAGCCGCGGAGGAGTCGGGAAGGATACCGAGGTGGAGGATGGAGAGTAGGGAACGAGCCCGGCTTCTCCTCTGGAGCCAGGGACTGCTGGGCGTCACCCCCTCACTTTCCTCATTCTCTCCAGGCCTGACGGACCCGCAGCCTCTTCTGCCTCCGTCCCCGCCCTCCCCTGAGTCCTGGAACAGCCCGAGGCCCCTGGTCCCTGTCCCGGCCCTCGATCCCTCCTCGGACCCCACACAACAGCACCCCACCCTCCCCTTCTCACATTTCTGCCGCTTGTCCCTTCTCTGCAGCCTCCTGGACTGCACTTCGAAGATGCGCCCGTTTATTTCCGTGACATCATGTGGGAGACAGCCCAAACTGTTGCCCTAGGTGTCTCCCTCACCCACGCAGGAAGGAAAAATAACTACCCTCCTTAAGCAGGTGTTCTCCTTCCCTAGTGCCCGGAGAAGGAACTGTTGGGGGCGGGGGGGGGGAGCAGCAGCTCAGATTCTCTTGCACCCTGAGCTTCCCTGGGTTAGTTTCCCCAAATCATTCATGTCTCATGTCAGTTAAGCCCGCATATATAGGCGAGGCAAAGCCAGAAATACAAAGTATACAAAAAGAACTGGACTATTTTGTTGAGGACCCAGATACATGCAGGAGAATAACGTTGCAAAGGAGCAAGGTAGAGAAAGAGAGGTCACTGGAGGCAGGGAGACCTGGGATTAAATCTCCACCCTGCCAGCATGAAACTCGGGGTGGGGGGACATTATAACAACCCCTCCCGGGGATTCTGATGTGCACCAAGGCAGAGAGAAGCAGTAGAGCAGATGCTCCTTGACATGTTAGCTCTGTCCTTAAAGGGTGAACGCAAGCGCCCCATACAGAAGGGGCTCCACACCTCTGGAGCAGGGGGATTGCTGGGAACCCTTGGGGTGGCTGGGAAGGGCCTCACAGAGGAGGTGGGATTCGGCCGGGATCCACCTGAAGGGAAGAAGAGAGTCTGGAGGGGGTGGGGAGCCCCTCTCTCCCTTACTCTTCCATAATCCCACCTCTTCCCTCGCCGGGCTTCTCAGTCCCCAAACCATAGCAGATCATGTGTCTGGACGTGGCAGTGAGAGCACTGTATGAGATGACACACATGAGACATCTCAGAAAAACTTAGGACCGCCTCGGGTACAAATGTCGCCAGGGAGACGGCTCATCCCTTCTTCTGTTTTCTCCCCACCCCCACCCCATGTTGTCACGCTCCAAAACTAGCACTTCCTGCCCTGCTATTTGTACTTCTTCTACAAAATTGTTTGCTCACTGTCCTCTTCTCATGCTGGGCAACTGATTTTGGCCAGTCAGCAGGGAGTCCCACAGAAGCGTCCCTCCAGATGGTGCCCTTGGCCCCAGCCTGGCGCCGGGGAGGGTGCTATTACCATTCACCCTTGTAGAAGGTTCTGTTGGAGGAGTTACTCCCTTGGGCAACACTCGCAGTGACATTATTGTTACTATTCATGTTAAAAGATAAGGTAGACCTGAGTTCTTGCATTAACTGCCCCTAAGTATACTCTTTAGAATTTGGAAAATTTCTCCCTACTGAGGCATCCAAGAGGCTGATTACTGACTCAGGCAAGAAGGACTGAAAGAACTTTAGAGGTAAAAGGATCACTTGGGAGACGACTAGTCAGTTTCACCTTTTCAGGAAGTTCTACTGATGCCACCACCTAAAGGGGGCTGTTCTGGGACCTGGGGATTACAAACAGGTGTGTGATTGGCCCCTGCCCTGGAGGGATGGGATGTGAGCCACCTGCACTCTGATCAGTTGTATCCACTATACTCTCTCTCAAGTCTGTTCCCCTTCTCCGTCCCTCCACTTCCCTGGTCCCGCCACCAGCTGAAACATCTGGCTCTCCTCTGAATCCCCGCGGTAGTGAGAGAGCCTGGGAATGGCCATCTCTAACGCGTGCCGCACACGTGAGTTAGAGGCCTTTTTGAAATGCAAATCTGATTGTTTTAGGCTCTCCGCTTAACCCCAGCCAGCGGCTTCCCATTGATCTTAGGTTAAAGACCCAAGTCCTTACCCTGGCCCCTAAGGCCCTGTCAGGTGTAGCTCTGCTGGTCTCTCCAGATTCTTCTCCCGTCACTCTCACCCTCTGTGTGAGGGTCCACTTCCTGTCTGCCCCGTGCTTCCTCCTGCAGAGAGCATTCATGCAGGCTGGGCTCTCAGCCTGAGAGCCTCTTTCTCCCATTTCTCTTTTAGCTAGCTCCTCTTCATTCTTCAGATCTCGGCGTCTCTGCCACATCCTCAGGAAAGGTACCCTGCCCTTCCTTCCTGGATCAGATTCCCCTCTTCTGAGCTCCCACACCAAGGGGCACCTTCCCTCAGAGGCACTCGGCACGATTGCAGTTCTGTATTTGTTCATTATTTGATGGAGGCCTCGTTTCCCCAGAGGATGTAAGCTCCCTGAGGGCAGGGATTGTGGCTGCAGATGCTCACTCTTGTCATACAGGGGGGACCCTGAACTGGCCACTCCATAAATATTGAGTCAAAATATTGGTTTAACGGAGGCATGGGTGCCAGGATCCGGAGTAGAGGGCCAAATATTCCAGGATCTCAGAGACAATGGTTTGAGGCCATGATTTTCCTTCCCTCCAGCAGCTGCAACCCAGGAGTTCCATATGCCATTTTCTTTCTTTCTTTCTTTCTTTCTTTCTTTCTTTCTTTCTTTCTTTCTTTCTTTCTTCTTTCTTTCTATTTATTTATTTATTTCTGACATCTTATTTTGTTTTTTTAAAAAAAGATTTTAGGGACGACTCGGTGGCTCAGTGGTTGAGCATCTGCCTTGGGCTCAGGGTGTGATCCTGGGATCTTGTGATCAAGTCACACATTGGACTTCTCATGGGAAGCCTGCTTCTCCCTCTGTGTGTGTCTCTGCCTCTCTCTGTAGGTCTCTCATAAATAAATAAACAAAATCTTTTAAAAAAATCTAAACACACCATCACCTGGAAATACTGGATAAAATATGGAGAAAGGTAAGCAAGACTGAGTTCTCAAAAGGAAACTAAAATCCCAAGTGCTAAAAAAAGATCCCAAGTGCTAGACAAAGAGAAAACTGAAAGCCAGAGAATAAGCGGATCATGGCAATGGTTGCTAGAAGGGGACTGGGAGAGAATTGGTTCTATTAACCAAAAAGTGTTTTAACTAGCCACCAAAGGATGAGAGATGAGGTCTTGGTTCTTTTTTTTTAAGATTTTATTTATTCATTCATGAGAGACAGAGAGAGAGAGAGAGAGAGAGAGAGAGAGAGAGAGAGAGAGAGAAGCAGGCTCCATGCAGGGAGCCTGATGTGGACTCGATTCTGGGTCTCTAGGATCACACCGAAGGTGGTTCTAAACTGCTGAGCCACCCAGGCTGCCGGAGGTCTTGGTTCTGACGAGGTGTAGAAATTAGATGACAAGTGATCAAAGTTGACTCAAGAACTAGAAAACCTGAGCAGATCTATAAATTCTAACAAATTGAATGAGAGGTTAAAACACACACATGCCCCCATCTAGATGGTTTTATGGATGTATTATCCTGCCAACTCTTTTTTTTTAAGATTTTTATGTTTTTATTCATGAGAGACACAGAGGGAGAAGCAGGCTTCCTGCAGGGAGCCGGATGTGGGACTTGATCCCAAGACCCCAAGATCACCACTGAGCCACCCAGGCATCCCTATTTCTTTTCTTTTCTTTTCTTTTCTTTTCTTTTCTTTTCTTTTCTTTTCTTTTCTTTAAATAAGCTCTATACCTAATGTGAGGCTTGAACTCACGACCCCAAGATCAAGTCACATATTCCACAGACTGAGCCAGGGGTCCCTATCTTGCCAACTCTTAAGAACCAT